AAAAATAAAAAAAAATATCATGGAATCATTCCTGATTATTAAACAAACTAGTTATAATTAAATTTAAAGTATTGCTTGTTTGCTGCTATTTTTGTTCTTCAGTGGATATTTCAAATCTTTCCTAGTGTCGGTTATTGCTCAGTATGGTGTACAGGTACTTAATGATACACCAAGCAAGCTAGAATTACGCTACTAAATATTTTCATATGTGCAATGGTATCTGCTTTTAGCTGCAAGGTAGAGCTCAGTCTGGAAGCTGGGGGGGGGGGGGGGGGAACAAGAGAGAAATGGAAACTTGTAAATTTAGGACAAAGTTAAAACAATGTGGAGGGAAGATGAATCTCTAGAGATTTGCTAGGAAATGAAAGTTAAAATCATCTGGTTCCTTCTGCTCTAGAGATGTTGATTTATATCCCTACCAGTGAGGCTGACAAGTGCAAACTTTTAAAATAGCGGAAGATTTCCTGAGAGGTCAGTGTGTTTTCTTTATTGTGAAATGGAAGGCAAGAACAGTTCAAGTAAAACCAGAGGGAGAGAAGAAGGACTTTTCCATGGTGGAAAGGTAGGAGAGGTGCGTGGGAGCCAGGTAGCAACTGGCCCCCGGGGCGAGTGTTTCTAGCGAGCCCTCCACCGCGCCACTCTGCCAGAAGTAGACGTTTTTGAAATGTCTTTTGAGAAGGAGATCCCGATTTTGGTTTTCGTGGGCAGGCACCGTGCAGGACCGCGAGTGCTGGAGGGGGTTAGACAACTCTTCGGCCAAGACTGTCACGCAGGGGGAGAGGAAGGAAGAGCCTGGGAACAGAGGCTGGGGTCACTCGTCGTTTCCGTGTGATGGAGGACATCCCAGCCCCGTTTTCTCGCAGGGTGTCCAGCGCCGTCCTTTTCTTACGCAAAGAGGTTTCTGCATTAAGTCACATTAAGTTTCAAATTCAATGTTTGCAGGAAGACGTCTCTGAGAGTCAGGAAATACATGTGTGTGTGCCCAGAAAGAGCAATCAAACCGTCTGCTGCTTGCAACTCCAGCTGGTGTCCTAAAGCCTACTCTTTGGACATTTAGTCTGCTAGTGTTTCACAGGCAAACAGCAAATCCTTCGGGATTCAGTTTTTGGTGCCTGGGGATGTGCTTCCATGATTCATTCTGTGTCTGAGCTGCAGATAAACACATTCGGGCTTCTGCATGGAAAAATAGCTGGTTCTCTCCTGGAGTTTTTTCAAAAGCTGCGTATTGAGACTCCGTTCCCAGAGGCTGTTTCGTATTCCCCTCTGCCATCTGAACACTGCTGCATCCTCTGCTCCCACCACAAAGACCTCGGATGCCCAGAACCGATGGGCTATAATCAGTGTGGGCAAGGCAGAAATTGCATGGAGGTTTTATCATCTTCTGTGGCCACCAGCCCGCGGTCCTGTCATTGGGCTTCTCTTAGCAAAACAGAGACTAAGGGAAGAAGGGAGGTATAGTTTTGTTACATACAATGCACATGCCTGCAAAATCCCAAGACAACCTCATTTTTAATTTCTTCATACTGGTGCATTCCCCAACCCCTGATGTTCAGGTGCTTTTATAATGGTATTTTCTCTACAGCCCTTACTGTCTGTACCTGCAGTCACTATTCCTGAGTAAATACAGCAGAATTCAGTTGTTGAGGAGGGATCCCAGTACTCAGTCTTGGGCTGTGGATGGTGGGGTTTGTGTTTTGAGTATCTGTGGACCACCCAGTTTCCTGAGAGCACGCAGAAAACCTCCCTCAAATCCTGTCTGGGCTGGTTTTGGCCTAGGGAATACTTGTATATAGTAGTGGTTTCCTTTGTTTGTGTTTTGATGATGATGATTATTATTATTCCTGAATTAGGACTACTGAGATAAATACCTAGTTCCTAATGTTTTATTTTGTACGTAATCAGGTGTATCTGAAACAGCACCTTAAACTCCAGTGTGACTCTCATTACTTTTTTTAATAGAAAAAACCAGACGTTTTCAATACTTGGCAAAGTCACAGGGCAGAGGAGAGAGCTGGCTGGGTAATGGGAAAAATACTCAAATCTTTTTTGAAAAAATGCCAATGTCTATAATGCATTTTCAGTGAATGACTCAATTGGTTCTATTAAAGGAAAAAAATATAATGTTAATTCAGCCTAATATAGTTTATTCTATTACCAATCAACTGATAGACTTGAACCTCCTCATATTTTGCTTTCTTACTGCTAATTATTGAACAGGATGTTTAATTATCAATTTCCAATAGTGGATATCAGTATAAATCAGGAGTAGTTCCCTTAAATTTGATGGAGATAGATTGGTTTAAGAGTAAGGAGGACCAGGCTCAGTATGATGAGGAAGGAGTTAGGTGCAAGCCAGTCAGAAGGAGGCAGACTTTGATTTTAAAACTGATGGGTCGTTCCTTCATTTGTGTGGACTTGAGCACATTTGCATTTGTCCTCCTATGTGTGTTAAGGCTCAACCGCTAGATTTGCCTTTAGTAAAATGTAAGACGGTGTGCTGCAAATTAGATTCTGCTTTGTCTGGAGAGAAAGAATATTAACATGATATTTATTGACTTACAGTCATAATGTGATCTTTATTGACTTAACAGCTCTTTTAAGACTAACAAGTATGTATAAATTCTGCAGTGAAGTTTAATCGCTAAGGTTAGATACCCCTCAGCCTCGCTGAGAACAGGAGGTATCTTTCTTCCGTTGAAAGAATCCGAATGGTGACCCGCTGTCCACGCAGCAGTTAAAACTCAACATCTTTATGTCACTTTGGAACACAAGAAATCATTGTTTCGAGTAGTTGCTTACAAAAGCCTTTCTCAGGCTTCAGACTGCCTCTCTTTCTCTCTCCATCATTTAAATGAGACATTACACATATGTTAGTATATATGTAATATATATAAAATGGAGAAGCTGGGCATACAGCTGAGTGTGTAAATGCATTGAGTAGAGGTGCAGGGAAGGATGGGATGTATGTACATACAGGGGTCTAATGGGACCTTAGATGAATGTGTAAGTAATGCATATGTATGAGCAGAGGCAGCGAGCAGCTAATCGTAAGTGTACATCAGTGCATGCATAGCTAAGAAAAATAGCCTGTGAAATTGCATGGTGGGGAGGGACGTCCAGATGGGACATGCACTGAGGTCACCCTGCGACCTGACTCTGGTAGAACATGCAGTCTCCTTCGCCTCTCCTGGGAGACTCTTGCTCATTTTTCCCCTCTCAGATCTCCTCTGCTCCTTCTCTGTCTCCCCCAGCAAGAGCTGCTGACTGGGGAAGGTCAGGGCATCCTCACTGCTGGAGGATTTTAAGGGCACACTGGATTAAGACCTCTCAGATTATAGTTGAGCCTGACTTGGAGCAGCAGAAAGGGACTAGCTGACGTGTCAAAGGCCCTTCCAACCCCATTTTGTCATCATAGAAGTATGGAGGAGGACAAAACCTAAGGAAGAAAAATGTGCTGTAGAAAGTAGCTGACAGGTCAGGGGGAGTGGAGCGTTGACTCTGCAGTGTGGCGGGCAGGAGGTTAGCGGAGGTGCTGGCAGGAGCCCCCCCGGTGCAGGGCAGGGGGATGCAGCCAGACCGGTGAGGAGCGCCAGACAACGACTCCAAATAACAAGTTGCATGATCTCAGCGAGCAAAGGGAAGAAGGATGTGGGTCATTAGTCAAAGCAGCGAGTCAGGTCAAGGGTAGGAGAGTCTTCGTTTTTCTTTATTGCAAAAAAAAAAAAAAGGAATAAAAAGGAAAAAGCAGTGCATTTCATAACTTGGGAGCAAGGAGAACATCAAGGGGATGAGAATCCAGCAAGGGACTGTAAAAATGGAGGAGGATTATGGAGGAAATTTGAAGACAGGTCAGAGGCAAGAAGTCAATAGTAAAAATTCTCTTTTTGACAGAGAGAGGGAAACGGAAATTATTTCAGGAGAGACAAGGAAAACCAGAGAGAGGGTAGGAGAAATAGTTGGCATATAAAATCAGACAAAGTCATCCATTTCAGTAGCTTTCTTTTAGCTACAACATAACATGCAAGATCCTGTGTGTTGAGGCAAGTCAGGAGGGAAAGCAACCTCTGGATTTTGTGACATGGGATTGTCCAGGCGAGATTTGCTTGTGTTTGAGTAATAGAGGCGTTTGGCTAGGAGCAACAGCAGAGCTGCTGAAGGAGAGAGAGCAAAGGGGCTTCCAGAGTCTACCAGCTGTAGACTAAAGTGATGGAAAGGCCATGTTGGATGAGCCAAGGCTTGTGGATAGTCCGGCAGACTTCAGAGTCAAAATGTTGCACAACACAACCCAAGTGAGAAAGAGTAAAGCAGAGGCAGATGGGGGAGAAGACTGAGAGCAGATCAGTCATCCTTGCTGAAAGACTGGAAGTCATGGAAGGGGTGAGGGACAGGGTGAGATGATAAGGGCTGATGTTGAAATAAACCATGTGATGTGTCTTAGTGTTAAAATGGGGGTTTCTAACATCATCATCATCATTTCAGTTAATGCAAACACAAAGTGCTTCTGGTTCTCACCATGACCTGGGCACTTCCCTAGCCCTCGGTTCCATGTTATCAGAGCGCCTTACTATCTTTAAGGTAATTATCTCTACAGCAGTATGAGTGGTAAGGAATTGCTATTCTCTAGATAGTAAACCGAGGCATAAAGCAGAGGAATATCTTGCCTGCAGTCCCACTACAAATGGAAGTGAGAATTGAAGCCAGGTTTCTTCAGTGCTCAACTAGTAGCTTAAACGCTGGCTCATACTCACTCTGAACTCCTGCCTTGAGCAGGAGCCACCTTGAAATCATACTTTCCATGGAGGAGTAAAATTTTTTGGCATATTTTAACGGTTTGTTTAGTGATGCTAAAAAAAAAAAAAGTCATAAATTATTTTTGAGGTTTTTATTGTTGGGACAAAATTAAGCCACAACTATCTATCTGCTGGTCGATTGGCAGAAGTGGCTAATGGGGACACTACCAACATTGGCCTTTCTTTGATTTGCTCTGGTCTGTTTTTCAGATAAACCGCGAAAGCTGGTGTTCGCTGGAGCCATGCCCCGATTCTTCCCTGCTGGAACGCAAGAGGACGCGGGAGTCTCCAGGTGAGCAGCGTGCCGGTGGCGGCTCCAGACAAGCAGCTCTGTGGTTCTCCTTACCTTTTCTTTCCTTCTTTTTCTTCTTATTTTTGACATCCTAGGCTCGACGTGTAAAATACGTAAACTAAAGAAAATGTGTAATGCATCTGCCGTGAGTCATTGATAGCACATGGTTATACCACTTGACTTGCAGTGAGCTGTGTGGTGTGTCACCTTCCTAAGTAATTACGCATTTAAAGTACTTCGGTGTTTTGAGGTTTTTTCTTTTTTTTTTTTAAATTAACTTGAAAGGGGCGATGGGGGACACAGACATGGTTTCTAGCTAAAAGGATAATACAATAAAAGAAAAAAAAAGCCAGAAATTTAAACTTCTGAATCCATATTTAGATCCAAATCAGTGGCTTATTTTCACCCCCCCCCGCCCCCAAAATTTGCCATGATTTCCAGGCTCCAGGAAGCAGGAAGGTTGTTCAGAGCCATCGTTCCCACACCCTGCCCACCAGCCATGCCGAGCTCCCAGCCCTGCGTGCTGGCTGGTGCTTTCTGGCTTTCCCACCGGGACAGAAAATCTTGTCTGGGCAAGTTTCAAAGAGGGGTTGGTGTCTAAGATAAGAAAAAAAGCATTTCCTTTCATTGAATCATGCATGTTCGAAACAAATAGAGTAATTTATCAGGGCCCTGAATAGTGACTTTGCTTGGACTGTTCATAGAGAGGACACTTCTTGCCTTGCCCTGCTCATTACAAGCAGGGGTCTCACCTGAATCTCCTTCCATTTATCTGAGAGACTTGAAAGAAAAACTGGTTGAATCACTGACTGTCAATGTGAAATTCAAACCCAGTCTTTTCAGAGTATAGGCTAAGAAGGGATAATTTGGGTAACTGACCTGAGAGGTTTATCCTAGGTAGAAGTTCTAGCTGCCATCAAAGTTAAATAAGTGGGGTTTTATTAAAAAAAAAAATAGTCCTGTGTTTAGAATAGTCATGAACAGTGAATAGCTGTTTCAGGAGTGTTTTACAGGAGAACCTGCGATATCACCATGCTGCTTCTTTCCTAATTGTGTCCCCGAATCCCTTCCCTCTTGGTATGACATTTTCATGCTTCAGGCAAGAGATATTGTGCTCCATTTGGCTGCAAAATGATGTGCTCATTTGACTTGCCAAATCTGTAATTGTATATTCATATGCATCAATATTAGTTAAGATTCTTATTAATTATCTAATGCAATATCATACTATAGAAATATAATATCAATTATTTAATCAGGTAGCTGTATATACAAATATATATTAATAATTATAGTAATATGTGTCTTGTAACACAAGCACAAAGAGGCAAGTTTTTAAGTTGATTAATGTGCTTTCTGGTTGGACTGAAGCAGCAGGAAGATCTCAGGCTCTGCAGGTTCTGCCCTTTCTAGACTGCACACGCATCCCTCCGGCTGCACTGCAGTGCTGTGCAGTGTAGAGAAGGCAAGAAAAATCTGGCAACACCTAGCAGCAATAAAGCCACTAGCTGTCGTAATGTGGCTAACCTAAAAATACACAACTTGATATTAGATCTTTTTCACCTGCTGAATAATCCTGCTG